TATATATATATATATATATATATATATATATATATATATAAAATAAATATCCAAGCTGCAGCTCGCCTCGAGTTTATAATACAAAATATATCTCTATTTACAATGTTTCAATCCGTTATAACTTACAAATAATAATACAATATTTTATTTCTTCTCTGCATTGCGATCAAAATAAACTCGACCAGTCGATATATCAATTTACTCAAGTGCGCGTTTTTTTTTTAGTAAAATTAAACAATAAAAATCTAAAAATCTGCGTAGCAAATAAAAAAGTGAATGTACATAGACCAGCGGACATACGTGTAATATAACTCTGTGGTTTCCGGTGAGTTTTTAGTTTTTGTGCCTCGAACTTTTTTCATCAACTGCTCTACTGGTAGATATAATACATACTTATACTGTTCTACTCCAAAAGGTCTAAAGCCACCGCGAAAGTAATTAAGATTTCTCATTATTCATTTTATGTGCTTTTTTTTATTTTATTCTCCGTTCAATAGTAATGTGATAAATTTTTTATTTTAATGAACCGAATGACGAGTATTTTTTTAATTATTTAAATGTCACGTTCTGCTTTTTTAATAAAATGAAAAAAAATTATTTTATCAGATTTAAATTTTAGATAGATATTAATGAGAACGTTCTCATATATTATATACTTATATACAGACAATGTGGAGAATAATTTAAAGTTCTATTATTATTATGTATTTATTTAAAAAAAATTTTTTTTATTATTATTACTTAAAAAAATTTTAAATTAATTACAATAGTAATAATAATTGTAAAAATTACACATAATTATTATTATTATTATTATTATTATTATTAAAACCTAGATATTCATGGTAATAATAATTATAAAACTTCCGGTAGTGTGTCGTCGTGCCGAACAGAAGAATCCGTTTTATTTTGTCGCCTAGAAGGTACTTTTTGGTAACGGTAATCCCCTTTTATACTCGACTAATTTAGCGATGCTAAAAGCTAAAACTAAAACTAGAGGTATAATATATAGTATATACTATATGGTATCGTATTCTATCGTACGTTGCATACTTTAATGTTGAATATGTAGATGTATGTGTGTAATAATAGAGTGAAGGTACCGAACGTTCACAGCGTTATGCTAAAGTGTAAGGATCATCAAGTACAGCAACAACAACAATAATAACAACAATAACAACACCGTGGATCCCTGGATCCTTGGATCACTGACCGATCCACAGTCACGATCGTTGAGACCCGCTAAATAATTTACGCTTACAATATTCTCACAATAAAAATATTGCAATAATAATAATAATAATAAAAATAATATTTTTTAATGAAATTATTAAATAAAAAAAATTTTAACATTTTCATTGAAACAAAAAAAAATAATAATAATAAAGTAATAAATTTATTTTTATCAAACTTTTATAATATATAAATAAATTAAAAATAACTTTTATCATAAAAGCACAAATTTACTAAAATTTTCTCACTCAAATAAATGAAATAAGAAAATCTCCTTTTGCTGCGCTTCAACATAACAAATTAAAATGCTAAAACATTTCTTTAGTCAAGAAAAAATAAAATAAATTAAAAAAGTCATTTTAATAATAATATTGTTCCCTTTGTTATCCAAAGAGAAGACTATGTAAAGTTTCCATTAGAAATTTTACATCACTATCAACGCATTAAATTTTAAATTTCATTATCAAACCTTCTGACGTCACTCTGCAATTTTTATCAAGCATTATAAATTTATTATTCTCCAATTTATAAATATTATATCTTGATACCCAACTTTTTGACATTTAGAAACTCAATTAGTTTTATAAATTAAAGTAAAAACTATTGACCGAAAGAAAATCGATAAAAAATAACATACTATTATTCTATAGCACAATTTTCTTTCTATAAATACAAACCATACGTCTTTTAATTTTCTTTGTATAAATTCTTCAAATTTATACATTATTTACCAAAAAGGACCTTTTTGAGACGACAACAATTTTAAAACTTCTCACGAAGCTTTTCACCAAAAAATCGAATCTTCATTTAGCTTCAACTTGCAATTTTCTGTAAATAAAAAAAAAAAACTACATTATTGACTAGAATACTTGAAGAGAATAAAAAAAAATAAACTAAAATGAGCAGAGTCTAAATTAAATTTTGTCGCTCTTCCGAGCAGAGTACTCTTATTTTTTTTTCTCCGGAACTCCTTTGCTGTGTAATGAAATAAAAACTCAAAAGCTTCAGCTTGAACTCGATGATTAAATAACTGGCAATACTGACAATTAATCAACGATTTGATTAAAAAATATTTTATTCAGCTTTATATAATCATACAGCGGTAGTGAATTGTAAAAAATTGTTGTGGAAAAATGAATTATTTAAAAAACATGACTCTAAACTTCCTGTTGTAGCTTATAGCTTCATCCAACACAAAACTCATACACATCAGTAGATTGTCTACAATAAATGAAACTACCGGCTAAACTTTACAATAGAATATTTGATTCAAATGCATACAGACCCAGAGTCGGAGTACATAAGCTAGTTGTAGAACATGAACTAGTACGACGCAGTATATAATAATAAAGAGGATTGCATAAAATATTTTTATAAAGAATCCGTTCTGATTCTAGATTGTACCTCTGTATACTTGTATACGGTAATACTCTGAAACGCTTTGTGGTCACACAGGACTCACTCATACTTAACTTCGTCCTCTGGCTCTATTTCCTAAATCTCATTTCAGATTTTATGGAAATAAATCACTTGCAGATCTCTGACGTTTGAAAAAGGAAGAATTATTTTATTTCAATTGATAATATTCCGGCCAAAGGAAGCTAGATATGAAGGAATATTGATAAAGACATTTTTTATAGAAAGTTTAATGTTCTATAAAAATTATTTCTTATTATTTTTGATGTTTTCAATATTCGATCCAAAATTTTAAATTTAAACCCCAAAAAGTCATGAAGAATTAAGGCAACACTGATAGAAGAATTTATTAATTATTAATAATTTAATTTATTTGAAAACAATTATTTAATTTATTAAATTTTAATAATTATTTATTTTTGCTTTTTATTATAAATAAATATTTGTTAACAGTTAATAAATTGTACTTAATAAATTACTTATTAACTGTTAATAAATATTTATTAAATCCTATGATGTTAAAAAATTATTTATTAACAGTTATTAAATATAAACAAATCCTTCTATCAGTGAACTTTAGTTTTTGAATTTAGAATTTAAATTCGAGGGAAAAGAAGAGAGATATGGAAAAATTGATGAAAACCTTTTTTTGTAAAAAATTTAATTTTTTATAAAAATTATTTCTTATGATTTTTTGATATTTTTAATATTTGATCGAAAATTTTAAATTCAAACCCCTAAAATTCAAGGAAAATTTCAACAACTTTTGCTTTTGAATTTAGAATTTAAATTCAAAGAAAAAGAAGAGAGGAAATTGATAAGGACCTTTTTTGTAGAACATTCAATTTCTTACCATCACGGAAAAAAGTAAACTGTAATATTCACTCAAATTCCGGTTAATTTTTATAGTTTCAAACAGTAAAGCGGACATCGGGGTGGCAAAAATATAAATATTACAGAAATTATTGTTGAAAGTATAAAAGCCACAATTTATAATTTAATATCCAAAATAAGTGATTAGTAGCTGTTACTATAGTAAATAACGACTCTTTCATCTTAAAAAATTACAGTTTCAAACAGTAAAAATTGCCATTTCCATTTCCATATTTAGTCGATATTATGAGGAGAAGGGGAACTCAGATGAAACAGAAGGGGGTCTCACTCTGGGAGAATTTAACATTTGAAACAGTAAAAATTATACTTTTAAAATATACATTTTACCAGTCCAAGCAAGTCAATAATTACAGTTTGATTTTTAGCGTTGCGTTTAAAATTTACCATTTTACTTTGTAAATATTGACGTTGCTTGTATTAGAAATTTACTAACTTTATTTTATACTTTTTACATATCATAAGATCATTTTTTAGGTACGAAATGATAAATATTAAAGTCTGAATTCTTAATTATTATACTTAAACATTTTAGACATTTACATAGCGAATATTACTGTTTGAAATAGTATTTTCTTCCATATAAAGAGTAAATTGTAACGTTTAAATGGTAAATATTATAAAGTGAATAGTAAAATCACGATTTTACTGTTTGAAATGGTATTTTTTAGCAGTCGATCATTACTTATTATAAATCGACTGTTATTTATTACAGTTTACTTTTTTCCGTGCAACAAGGTCTCTTATGATTTTTTCATATCATCAATATTTACCTTAAAATATAAACTTTTACAATAAATTTAAAATAAAAATTCAGCAAGCTTGATTGAATTACAAAAAAAAAAAACTAAAATATTACCGAAGACGGAGGCCAGGAAATGAAGCGACGGAGATGAAATGTAAAAATGTCGAATTGGTTTAAATAATTTTTACCTTAGTAACTTCCGGCGAGCATTCCGTTGCAATAATCGATTGCATAACTCGAACGTGCCTATAACGGAAGATCGAATGCGTTAAGAGAGAATGCAGTTAGAGGTTGCGATTGTGCATCGCTGGGAGACCGCACGTCCAGTTTACTCCCATGGTAATTGCTACTATGGACTAGAGCTATAGGCAATATGATACATACATAGTTCCTAATATATACAGCCTCTGTTAATTTTTTATCAAGACTTATTTCTCTTTTATATTACTCGTTACGAGTAGATGTACACTACACCGTCGTCGCCGCTATTAAATTCTTCTGTACGGTGTTTATAATGCCTCCGTTCGTGCTATTACTATATAATGTCTGTATAGTATGTACGTTCTCTGTACTGCAAATGCATACAATCAAATACATAGCAGAGTCTATTCTAAGTAATGCTCGGGGTCTCAGGCAAATGATCCCCACGCCCCTAACACAATCCTATTTTATCCTGTCTAACGGAATTCAAAGATCATTTATTGAGAATCCGGCTGATTCATTTATCCATTTGTTGCTTGCCAGAATTCTAGAATTTCTTCTGTTTATTCGTCATGAAATTTTTTGAGTTCTTTAATTTTTGTTAGAAAATTTTTTTCTTCCCTTTGTATACAAGCGAGATATGGAAACATTAATAAGGACCTTTATTATATATAATTTAATTTTCTGCAAAAAAGGTCTCTTATGATTTTTTTTATATCTTCAATATTTAACTCATAATTTATTTATTTATTTATTCAATTTTTATGCCAAGGCAAATAGCCGAATGACAAAAGTATAACATAAGCTTATAATAAAGTACACGTGTAACAAAGTTAAAAAAAAATTTGGATAATCCTTTTGGATTATTATGTTGGATTATTAAAAAAAATATTATTATTTTTAACGAAATTATTAATTTTAGTTAATTTTAATTCATTGTAATCAATTTTAATGAATTTTAATTAATTTACAAACATGTATGGAATTCACTCACATTCCATGCTTGTAAAGGTGGACCCTAGGATCTCCGCCGTCCATCTTACGGCATAAAATAAATATTATTATTTTTAACGAAATTATTAATTTTAGTTAATTTTAATTCATTGTAATCAATTTTAATGAATTTTAATTAATTATGCACTTTTGTGCACGACTCATAATGCTCATTTAATTATGAAATATTAATAAAATAAAAAATGTGAAAAAATATATAAAACAGCTAAAATAGCATGATAATACGTACGCACCTCTAGTGGGATAAATGTACATCATACATATAGGTATACAGCCTTCTGGTTTTTGTTTTATTTTATTAATTGTACATAAACGACACTGAATTACCTACACAATAAAAAATTTTGCGTCATTGCGTCAAATAATTTTGTGTTAAATCACGGAAAAGAAAATGCGGTAAATCCAACTACACTTGGAGTAGCATTTACCACAGGATGGACTAAAGTATATATACACTATAGTGTGTTTACGGATGATTTTCATGTGTTTCTGTGACAACTCCAAGTGATGTTGGATTTACCGCACGTTTTTTTCCGTGATATTTAACACTTTTACATGTAAATTTAACATTTATTGTGTTAAATTAACACAAAAAGGTGTTAGATATTTAACATAAAAATTTTTAACACAAAATTTTTTGACGCATTGACGCAAAATTTTTTACTGTGTAGCCAGTCGCATTCGGTGACCTATAATTCTTCCAAAGAATTAAAAAAAAAAAATTTAACTCAATTAATGCATTTTTTCGCAAGTTACAGTGTTTTCGGAGTTTCATACATGACAGACAGGAAAATTTTTTGACCTATTTTGATGTTTTTTTTCGTTTCTATTGGACTAAATCAATTTTTGAAAAGTGTTAAATTGATCTCCATTAAATTATCTTGACAATAGTATGCAAAATATCTTGATTCCGTCAACTAACAAGACTACACGGTGAGAAATTTCTGTAGAAATTTACTATGCATACATAATAAGACTGAACCTTAATGACTCAATTCAAAATATTACCATAAAAATTTAAGAATATCATATTGTACCAATCAATATTTACTAGGGACCATAGTAAATTTGACCATGTAACTGTTACATAAACATATATAAAAAATTTTCGTAAACTGACTGAACAAAAACTGTGAGTGTGCTTAAAACTTTTCATTATAGTTCCATAGTAAAATTTCTGTTGCTCAGTCGACAATAAAAATTTATAAAAAAAATTTGACATTTAGTCACGTGTACTCGGTTTAAACTTAAAATTGTGACTATGAAATTTTCAAATGTCCCATAGTAAACGTATGCGCGTCAGTCGCGACGCACGCTCTTTCATTTTTTCGTGCTGCTTTGTTGTAAGATTCCTAAATAATAAAATATATAATAATTTACCGTGAAAAATTAAGATGAAAACAAACATTCGATGGTTAACCTGCAACCGACACTTTTCTAATAATATATTATTATTATAATAAAAAATAATTTAAAAGTTATACATTGTGTTTATAATTATTTATAATAAAATTAACTGCCAAAATAAATCCTACGTTCAAATTAAAAATAAAAAACAAATAAAAAAAACTATATTTTAAAAAAATATTTTTAAAAATTATTACAAACAAAAAAAAATCTTGTTTGGTTTGATATTTTTTTTGATTGCTAAAAATATTTTTTACTCTAAAATTTTTTATTTTTCACAAACATTTTCTTATTTTTTTGCTATAGTACATTCGGAAATTTAAATTATTGCATATTTCATTTCACTATGGTACATTTTAATTTCTACCGTTTGCTATGTCTGATTTCAAAACAAATTCGGAAATTACTATGGACCATTGTAAAATTTTATTCTGAGTCAATAAGATTCACTAGTAATATGCACCATTGTAAAATAATGGGGTCCCCGCCACTAATGGGGTCTTTTACCCTAATCTCTGAAATATAATTATGATGAGAAAGAGAACAATATCTATTTATGGAGGAAATAAAAATAGTTAAGTGTTGAGTACTGAGTACAATTTTGAATAAAAACTTTCAAAAGTCATAAATAACTTCTATGACTTGAGTTTTTAATAAAAAATTTAATTTCTAGGAAAAGAAAGATAGATATTAAATTGATAAGGACCTTTAATTATAGTGAATTAAATTTCCTGTAAAAAAAGTCTCTTATGATTTTTTTGTATTTTCAATATTTAACCCAAAATTTTGAATTAAAATTTCTAAAAGTGATAAAGAGCCTTTATGACTTTAATTTTTAAATTTAAAATTCAAATTTTAGAAAAGGGAAGAGAAATAAAGTAAAATTGATAAAAAAACTTTTTTTAAAAAAATTAAATTTCCTTAAAAAAGGGTATCTTGTGATTTTTTCATATCTTCAATATTTATCTCTAAAAATAAAAAAAAATCCATAAAACTTTTATCTATCCACATTTTCTTTTTAAATTTTCAAACGCTTTAACTATTTCCAAGGCCTCTGACTGAAAACAAGAATACACTTAACAAATTATATAAATATGAGCACGCTAGTATATACTTATCTCATCACACATCTATCCATATATTGGCAATAAAAGTTAATTACTTAAAACCTCAGTTAAATATTCAAATTCAAGGCCGATAACAACAAGATACAACTAATAAACATAAATATAATTAAAAAAACTTTCCCATATTACATATTACAAAAAATACAACTACTATTAATACAAGAAGCCTGACTTCCTCTTATATATTCGCGAAGTTAATACGATAAATAAATAATCTGGAATTATCTAATACTAAAAAAAGAAAGGTAAATCAATAATAATATAACCGGTTATATAAATAAGTGTATTTTCCTTTCCTCCACTCTGGAACTAGACTTCGCTCACTACATAAATTTTTTTCCCAAGTATGATAAACTCGTTAGATCGAGATCGAGGATCGTAATTCATGCCGACACGTCTTATGTCTTATATACCTTATGTTATATTATTCTGAACAGTAAATCTGTGGAAATAGCACACTGCATTCCTTTTATATTCATATTCAATATTTTACACTCCTATTGATAAATATTTTATATTGAAAATCATGGGTGATTTCACAAGAACAAATATTACTCTCGAGTGTGCTCAAGGATTTAGACTTTCTATAATATGTGCATGTCTGCTGAGATATCCATCAATAAGATGCTAAGCCATCCAAGCTTTACCTATTTATTTATTTATAATATTATTTATTTAATAATAGGCTATGTATCATTAAAAGGATGCGCAACTTTCTGTTGCTGCCATATCCGGTATACCACCGGCCTTCGCCGGAATATAATGATTCATATGACCATTATATATGTGACTTGTGACTGAAGAACAAAAGAAGAAATCTGGTTTAGATCTCAGAGCTAAATCCGCTCCCGGATTGTTCGGTAAATCGAGCTCTACTATTTCTTCTTTTGAATAAAGTGACTTCAACGCCCGACAAGGGGACTCTTTTTCTTCATAAAAATTGCTTCAAAATTTATTGAAGGTGCTGCCTGCAGAGACATGGATAAATAAATTATACTGAAGTTTGCTGGCAATTGTAAATTTATTTTTATTTCTATAATAAATTATAAGAAAAATCTTTTTAAAAATTTCCAATAATAATTTTTTGATTAAAATTTTTTTCATAATAATTTAGATTTAGATTTTATTTATTGATGCTCCTTGGCACAGGTTAAATGGCAATTTCTATTACATAGTATATACAGTTTTTACCATAACATAGTATTGCATAAAAATTAATTTAAATAATTTGTATATAAATAAGGTAAAATCAAATTAAACTTGGAAATTAATATAGAGAATAATAATTTAAAATATAGAATTTTAATGTCGCCAAATCAGATGATAACTCAGCATAATAATTCTGCTAATTGCACTTATTTTATCCTTATTTTAATTTTTAATCTTTATAATGTATTAAATTTAAATTTGTTATTTTTTAGACGTCGTTTTAATTATCAAGATTTAATAAGTAATTGAAAACTTTTTTTTTAAAGACTTGCAAGCTACTAGAATTTACAATTTCACGTGAGAGTTCTTCCCAAAGCCTTATTACAGTCACTAAAAAATAGTCACTAATTTTACTGCTATAAAATTATAAAAAAATTGATAATGTCTGTCTATTTTAGTGTCATAAATAAATGATCCTAAAATTAACTGAACACTGTCAATTTTTTTTTAATTTTTATAACAAATTACAATAGAAAAAAATTCTTCTAAAAATTTTCATTAGTAATTTTTTTCATAATTATATTTGATTGATATAAAAATAAAAAATTTAGCTGACAATTTACAATTATTTAAAATTTTTATAACAAATTATAATAAAAATTCTTCTTAAAATTTCCACTAATAATTTCATTAAAATTTTTTTTCATAATTTCATTGCTACCTACAAAATAAAAAAAAAATTTTTAAGACTGTAAACTTTAGTGTCATAAATAAATCATACTAAAGTTAGCTGTCAATTTTTTTTTATTTTTATAAAAAATTACAATAAAAACAAAAATCTTTCTAAAAATTTTTTAAAATTTTCACGTGGAATTTTTTTATTAAATTTTTTTTGGAATAATTTTATTGCTATAAAATAAAAAAAAAAAATTTCTAATGTCTGCCAACTCCAGTATGGTGATAAATAAATAAAATTATACAAATTGTGGTACCAAGTAATAACAACCAGGATAAATATAATAAATGAGAAAGAGTTATAGAAGAAGAAAGAGTGGGCGGATACTGCAGAGCACTATTCTTCACGATACGTGTCGTAGAAACTGGTCTGAACTTCCATTCTTGAACTTTGGAGCAGAGACAAAGACTTCGCACCGATGTCACACCAGTACACTCTGAAAAATAAGAAGAAGAAATAAGAAGGAGCTAAGGCTGAGTCATTACCTTCAGTTATATCCTGGTGAATCCGTTCGACACGTTCAAGTCATCACTTCCGTTCAGTTATTTGAATATTAATAAATATAAATACTAAATGTTTAGTATTTTTATCACGTCAATTTATTTCTAAGCTTTATCTATTTTATTATTTTAATCAGTTGTGATGATTAAGAAAAATTTATTTATTATTCAGCAGTTAAATTAATTAATCTTTAAACTGTCGGTAATTTTTTTAATGGATTTGTTTTTGTAAGAGTTATTTCTTCATTTAAGTTGTTTGGCTCATGGGTAAAATTGTGCAAGCTAAATAATTATAGGTCAGACTTTGCTAGAACAAACTTGATGTTAATTTTAAAAGGACGATTTTCCCAGAGAAATTTATTTTCATCAAATTTTATAATTTGTGAATAGAATAATAGCTATTTTTATCATAAAAGAACATATTTACTCTAATAAAAATTCTAAAATATTTCTTCAGTGAAGAAAAAAAAAAATAAATTTTAAAAAGTCATTTTAATAGTTAATATTGTGCCTTTTGTTATCCAACAAAAAAGACTAAAGTTTTCTTCTGAAATCGCTTTGAAATTTTTATTAAGTACTATAAATTTATTATTCTCCGCAATTTATAAATATAATACTGACTCACTAAATATTTTTAAAAAATTGCACTTATAGTTTTTCAAATCTTCTACATGTGGAATTTTTTGTAATAATTTTTTTAACAATAAAAATTGTCATATGTCTGGCAATTTAATTTTTATTACTTTAATTTAACAGAATAAAACTTCAAACTATCTGTATAAATCTGAAAATAAATGTAGGTTATTATTACACATTCCAAGGGAGTTTAAACATCTCCACAGTTACCCTCAAATTATAATAATATTTAATAATTATAATAGTAATAGTATATTCTTAATTTTTTGCATAAAGTATATATATCCTTGAAAATAACTTACGCTCTCTAACATATTTATATTCTTCATGCTCGGTGAGTAATGACTGAAGCTTCTAAACAATTTTTCACCATTAATATTCTTAAATAATTCTTTTTCACCTGAAACTTCTTCAGCATCTTATTTCTTCTCTGGAATTTTGCGCTAATTTCCATTTACCTCGGAACTATTTCTCCCTGCAACATAAACACACACCATAATTATCCTGATGATGATGACTCGAATCCAGAAGATCCAACCAGTGTCTCTGAACTTTAATGAATGATAATTATACGCCAGGATTAAAACTTTCTTCCACTTACAGCAAAATTATACGCCGAAGATAATTTGCATTTAAACTTTGAAGCTAAAAAACTTTATTTTTAAAAATTGTTATTGTTTTTTTTTTTTTAAATTTATCAAAAACTTTTTAAATAAAAATTAATTACATAACTTAACAGTTTATCTATATTATTAAGAGAATAAGAAAAATTTTGTGTCCAGGATAGTCATATGATAAAATCGGTTTTTTAGTGAAATTTAGTATCATTAAAAAGGTTTTGACTTGAATTTTCGCCTTTTTAAGATTTCATATCATTCTCACCGATAGTTAACTTATTATGATTATTTAGGCTGCATTCGAAAATACTCTATCTCTAGACACATAATTAAGAAATGACCTTGTATCTTGTGAACTATTGACATTGTTAAATATATAAGCTCATCACGGTATTACACTCATCGAGACCTTTCATTTGACTACCCACATGCATTTTCATATATTTTTCATATATACATATATATAAATATAT